TATAACAATATTTTAAGCTTTCAGCTAAAGCTGTTTCATTTTCCCACTATTGTGTTTATTTATATTCATGCCTCAAAGTATGCATTGCTTTAAGCGAATAATGGTATTTTAAACAACACTGTAATATGTATACAACTAGAGGCGCTGATGTTGCTGTCAAAATATTGTTTAAAATGAATTGTATGGCAGTTCTCTAGTTTTAGTTTAACCACTGTTGCCAGATAAAATTGCGAAGAAATTGTCAACATAAAGAAGTAAACTTGAAAATTAATTAAGTTGTTGAAGAAGTCAAAGTATATTTTTATAAAAAACTTTATTGATTTAGTTTTAGAAAAAATATGTGATTTTAGTGATATTATCCACGAGATCCGAATCTTCAATAATTCTATCAGATATGTTTTCGAGAAGCTCGCTATTTAAAATCAGCATAATTCTGATTCTGTATGTCAATAACATACAGCTTTATATGGTAAATGTTGTTCTTGAACTTAGTTTGATTGTTTATAAAAACAAAACACGGCAAGAATAACACGTTAGGTATGATGTCAAGTATCTAACAGAGTTATAAGAATCTATACTGATACACAAGCCGCCATTAAATCCCTGATCGATGTATATTCTACATCAAGACTTGTCCAAGAATACCGGACGTCTCTTAATAAGATGGCGAGTCATTCAACAATTACCCTTGTTTGGGTCAAAGGACAGGGAGACACAAACGGCAACAATATTGCTGATACTTTATCGAAAGCTGGGACGAGAATATCTACTCTAGACATAGTCCCACTATAGGCCATTAAGAAACACATATATGTACATTTGCTACATGGTTTATCTCCAGACCGCTGGTCTCATGAGCATACTTCCTCGATTGCAAGGACGCTGTGGCCTCGCATGGATCTTCATAGAATACCCTTTCTAATAGGTCTCTGTAGAACGAATCTGTGCGCTCTTTTATCAGTTATCACTGGTCATTGCAAATTTTGAAATCATGCAAGACGCATGAGCCTTCCATATAACGACTTCTCTAGAAGCTGCCAGATTGAGAAGGAGGAGAAAACAATTACTAATTTTCTGTGTAACTGCCCGGCCTATAACTCTTAGAATTCTAACAATTAGAATGTTAATTTCATTTCTGTTTACTTACTTACTTACTTACTTACTTACTTACTTACTTACTTACTTACTTACTTACTTACTTACTTACTTACTTACTTACTTACTTACTTACTTACTTACTTACTTACTTACTACTTACTTACTTACTTACTTACTTACTTACTTACTACTTACTTACTTACTTACTTACTTACTTACTTACTTACTTACTTACTTACTTACTTACTTACTTACTTACTTACTTTACTTACTTACTTACTTACTTACTTACTTACTTACTTACTTACTTACTTACTTACTTACTACTTACTTACTTACTTACTTACTTACTCTTACTTACTTCTACTTACTTACTCTTACTTACTTACTTACTTACTTACTTACTTACTTACTTACTTACTTACTTACTTACTTACTTACTTACTTACTTACTTACTACTTACTTACTTACTTACTTACTTACTTACTTACTTACTTACTTACTTACTTACTTACTTACTTACTTACTTACTTACTTACTTACTTACTTACTTACTTACTACTTACTTACTTACTTACTTACTTACTTACTTACTTACTTACTTACTTACTTACTTACTTACTTACTTACTTACTTACTTACTTACTTACTTACTTACTTACTTACTTACTTACTTACTTACTTACTTACTTACTTACTTACTTACTTACTTACTTACTTACTTACTTACTTACTTACTTACACTTACTTACTTACTTACTTACTTACTTACTTACTTACTTACTTACTTACTTACTTACTTACTTACTTACTTACTTACTTACTTACTTACTTACTTACTTACTTACTTACTTACTTACTTACTTACTTTACTTACTTACTACTTACTTACTTACTTACTTACTTACTTACTTACTTACTACTTACTTACTTACTACTTACTTACTTACTTACTTACTTACTTACTTACTTACTTACTTACTTACTTACTTACTTACTTACTTACTTACTTACTTACTTACTTACTTACTTACTTACTTACTTACTACTTACTTTACTTACTTACTTACTTACTTACTTACTTACTTACTTACTTACTACTACTTACTTACTTACTTACTTACTTACTTACTTACTTACTTACTTACTTACTTACTTACTACTTACTTACTTACTTACTTACTTACTTACTTACTTACTTACTTACTTACTTACTTACTTACTTACTTACTTACTTACTTACTTACTTACTTACTTACTTACTTACTTACTTACTTACTTACTTACTTACTTACTTACTTACTTACTTACTTACTTACTTACTTACTTACTTACTTACTTACTTACTTACTTACTTACTACTTACTTACTTACTTACTTACTTACTTACTTACTTACTTACTTACTTACTTACTTACTTTACTTACTTACTTACTTACTTACTTACTTACTTACTTACTTACTTACTTACTTACTTACTTACTTACTTACTTACTTACTTACTTACTTACTTACTTACTTACTTACTTACTTACTTACTTACTTACTTACTTACTTACTTACTTACTTACTTACTTACTTACTTACTTACTTACTTACTTACTTACTTACTTACTTACTTACTTACTTACTTACTTACTTACTTACTTACTCTTACTTACTTACTTACTTACTTACTTACTTACTTACTTACTTACTTACTTACTTACTTCTTACTTACTACTTACTTACTTACTTACTTACTTACTTACTTACTTACTTACTTACTACTTACTTACTTACTTACTTACTTACTTACTTACTACTTACTTACTTACTTACTTACTTACTTACTACTTACTTACTTACTTACTTACTTACTTACTTACTTACTTACTTACTTACTTACTTACTTACTTACTTCTACTTACTTACTTACTTACTTACTTACTTACTTACTTACTTACTTACTTACTTACTTACTTACTTACTTACTTACTTACTTACTTACTTACTTACTTGTGTGTGGAAATAAAAAAATCATAATTTAAAAATTTCAGAAATTAAATGTTATTTATAACTCGCACAGTCCTGATTGAATGAAAATCTGTTAAAGGGAAATTTCTGGTACTTTTTCGTTTTTCAACTGTTTGCAACACACTATAGCTAAGTGTATATGAATTCGGCACAGCCAAATTGTATTATAAAATATTTACAGAAAATATAGTTGATTTCAAAAAATAATCTTTATTATAATAAAATATAACCTTTATCTCTTTATCTTTGTATATATTGGAAAATGTTTTAATCTTTTCAATAGCAGTCTCAAAATTCTCCTTAAATTCTCTAATTTCTGCAAAGATAAAAAATCAACTTTTCATTAATTTTACAATAACATTATAACAATAATTTACCAATTCTGTAGCCACAAATTTTTATGGATTTCAAACGTTTCGGAAAGTTTCGATGATTAATAATAAATTTCAAAATGAATGATCATTGTGTAGAAATCTATTATAACGTATCATAAGTATTAGTTTGGGATTATTGTGCAGTATTAAACCAAAAATCTTGTACAATCTTAAAATAACTATTTAAGGAAATATTCAAAATGTTAAATTAATTCTCTTATCTTCAAATTCCATTAACTCTTGATCATATATATCATAATCAATTAAGTAGTCATCGTATTCATCATAACCATCAGGACCTTCTAGTTTTGTAAGTGTAAAATATCTTAAATTGGGATGTTTTAAGATAATCATAATTTTTGAGAATTTTATTTTTCTGCCAACTCTCAGGGTAAGTTTCTCCAAAGAGCTGAGGCTATATAAATTATTAATCAATAATGACGAGGGTTCTGTTATTAACGTTCTAAGTTTGCCACAACTAGTAGCCACGTAAATAGGCACCTGTGCAAAATTATCATGCCAGGTAAGCGATGATAGATTTCTTAAATTCAGACCATCATTTATTTCAAATAATTTCTTTAGATGATTTCGTTGACAATTGTTAACAAGTACATTTTTCCAAAGTTGGTGCCACTGTAAAATACTCAAATATTCCTATATATTCTGTGTCTTTAATGGAAAATGTTCTTAGTTTCATATTACTTAAGATGGCCATTAAATCACGCCATATCAAACCCGAACAATTCTCCAAAACAAATGTGTTTAAAGTAGAAATGGTGGCAAAGCTACTGATTTCGAAATTTTGTAATTTTAAATATTCTAATTGATTACAAGTTTTTTGTAGTTTCTTAAAAAACTCTTCATTAATTGAGATCAAAGCCCATGATTCCAGTACCAGTTTCTTAAGGCATTTAAAATTAGTTAACATTAAGTTGTTGAATTTTCTAAAAATACGTTGAGATCGAAAATAGCCTATAGTTAATTCCTCACAAGGATTTGTTAGACCTAAAGCTTTCCTAGTAGCTATAGCATTATCATCATCCTCGTTTATAACAAAGTTTCTTATTTTTATTACTAACTGCAGCATATTTAATTTATTTAATATTTTATTTAAATCATAAGTTAATTCTTTATCTACAGTATCGGAAACTGTGATTTCAAGAATTTTCAATTCAGTCATATTTTGTAGGGTGGTAATTTTTTATATCCTCTCCTATTACCAAGGTCTTTTCGTTGCTATTAAAACAGTTATCCAAACACATTTTCTCCAACTTGTTGCAATATCTATTCAAAAGTCTTAAATCTTTTTCGCTGATTATAACATGTTGAAAACTTATCGCAGTAAGATTTATAAATCTATGATGCTGATCAAATGTCACTCCGAATTCTGTGGGACTAAAATAAGTGAGCTACTTTTCATCACTTCACTTTCATCGTTGACAATTTATAGTTTATCGTTGGTGAATATAAAACTAACATTTTTATGTTATCAACTATTAACTGTAGAAAAGTATCAACATCTTTTCGATTTAATATGGTCTTATCCTCTTTAACACACTCGTAGCCAACCTCATTGTCTGATTCATTATTCGCTGTATTATTTGTCAGCAACATTCCGAAATGTTGAGACATTTTACATACTTCTAGATTTTTGTATTTGTTTTTCCATATAAAATCAACAATCACTATGCGAAACTGTGTACAGACTTTAGTCAATTTTAACAATTCTTCCAAGTTAAGATATTGAAAATTTCGTATAAACATCAACGTTTGTTATTATTTTTTCCATTTTTATTCACAAAATTTTATCGTAAACTAATTACACAATATATGAAATAATTTGTTAATGTTTATATTTACAACATATAATCATCAGCTGTCTTAGTGATCGAATGTGATCTTATTGTGGGATGCCACTTAAATAATATGATTTTTCAGCTGTATTGTTCAAATACAAGTGTGCGATCAATAATCAGATATAATTAATGTTTTAAAATTGAAAAGTAACGTTCGTTTTTTTAAACGCTTTTTCATTAAATGTGTTAGCTAGTTTTAAAAAGAGCAATTTCATAACGATCCTGACTGTTAAAGCACGTATTTATTATATTGCTGCTAAATATATTACGTAGACTAGGTAATGGGTGGACATCGGCCGAATAATTCGGGTCATTCCGATACGTAGAACCGCCTGTCGGGGAATGATGTTCAGCCAACCCTACTTCACTCTGTCCAATGGATTATGCACGCATCCAGTTGAAGTAGCCCAATTTTTAGGCCTGGACATTGATGTAGAACCCCCTAACTAGATTATTGTATAGTTTTAGCTGTTACAACAACAACAAACATCTTTCCAAATTCATCTAAATATTGAAAAATATGAAAAAAAAAGTAATAAAATAACACTCTCATTATTTTGTTTGAAATATATTTCTTTTTATTTGTTTAAGGGCTTTTTTATTTAAACACTTAATGTGATGTTAATATTGTTGTTTTTATTTTAATATTATATTATTAAATATGAAACCAATACAAGCTCTTTCTGATTTGCTTTTATCCTTGATTACCATGTATGATGGTTATTTATTATCATTATTATTTAAATTAATTTGAAACTTAACAATACGGTTAGTAATATTTTACATAATTCATTATTAGTTTTAATAATTATAGATTTTTTGCTTTTAACTTAGATTTATAAACAAAAATTTGACTAGTATTTAATTCCTTTACACAATTTACTTGTTTGCCTATTTTCTTTTTTTTCTCAATTTTCTTTGCTTTTGCTTTTTAAATTTCCATTTCAAATTGCTTACATTTTCCGTAATAAAAAAATGATAATAAAAAATAGATTTTATAATTAATTTTTAACATTAACTGATAGTTAATAAAAAAAAGTTATAGTAAAAGTAATTTTAGTTTTATAAATTAAGTTAATTCCTTTAACTGTTTTTTTTTTTTGTGATATTTCAGTTACTGAGTATTTTTAAAGTATATATATATATAAACTGTTTGTTAGATTTTATATTTTTAACTATATAATACATTTATATAAAAATTAACAAAGAAAATAATACAAAAAAATTTATACAAATTCTTAAAAAAGTTAAAATATTACAAAATAAAATTCATTTTGTTGGTTGGTTGTTTTTTGTTTTCTAAAAAATTATCAGTGATTAAAAAAATGCTTTAGATGGTTCTGTAATTTGTTTGTCTTATATAAATAAAATTTTAAATTCCTGGTCCATTCATACATTAAGATATATATAACAGTTATTGTATAACATTTAAGGGTTTTCTATAATAACACTTTTAGTTTTTCTTTTAACATTAAACATTTGTATATGGTCTGTACATATATATTTTTTTTAACAAATAAAAATATGTTTGTTTGAGACTTTTTCATAAAAAATACAAAAAATAAATATCTTTGTTTGTAAAATCCAAAATATTAAAATTAAAATCAGTACTTTTGGTTTACTTTGTTGGTTTTCCACAACATGTCTAAAAACTCATGTTGTTCTAGGTTTTGTGATGTTTGTTTTTGTAGTTTATTATTAAGGATATTTGTTTGTTGTTTTTACTCCTACTATACCAATTTGTTCAATCTATTAGACTTTACTTTCTGGTCCTTCGGCAACATTTTTAAAAGCCAATCGTATTCTGGTTAAGAAATGTGATGATATATGACCATAACTTTTATTATACCATTCTGGAGTTTTACCCCTAAAATTAATTAAAAATTAATAGAGATCTTAAATAGTTTTTTTATATGTTTAGTGCTTTTCAACTTACTTGACATCAACTCTTGCTAAATGCATAACCCTTGATCTACCACTACCACAGGGTTCAATGAGATAACGAGAGGCCAATACCACACCTCGTACAGCATTAAACATTGGCTTTGCCTTGGCATGATCTATAGAGGTTTCAACAATAACACAAGCACCTCTAGGTAAATCAGTGCGCCAGGATCTAGAAAAATGAAATACCAAAATATAAATTCTTTTCTAATAACTTCGCTAAAAGTTTATTTTCATTTTACCTTAAAACACAAAAATCTGTACACTGTTGACCATCGATGGCATATTGGAAAATTTCCGTACAATCATCAAATTTCTTAATGGTTTGACTTTGTAACAGATTAGGATCCCAGGAGGCACGTTGACGTATAATATAATCTAAAACATCTTTGGGAGGACCCTCGATTTCCGTTATACAACGCCACAAACGTAAGGGATGACCATCACCTACTTTTTTATAGGCAATTTCAACATTGGGATCAGCCAAGGAGGTTATAGTAATCCATCCACGCGATCTATTATATAACGGTAAAATATTATTTTAATTTTTCCCAAAAAATTAAAATTAAATCAAAACTTACTTTTCTCTTCCCTCTTTAATGGTGGCACTGGTACTTTCATATAAATAACCTCGCCAGTTATGAAATTGCATGCCTTCTCCTAAGGCCTCCAATGGCAAAGGTTTCGATTCTTCCATGTAACCAAATTTACACTTGCCTAGCTTTTCTTTGGGGGCTGTATAGATTTGCTTGTAGTGTTCTATCATAAAGGACAGGCACTCATGAGAAGCCTTGGCTTCAAATAGCTCCTTGGCATCGGGTACCCCTGAACCTTTGCCTTTGCGTCGTGGAGAGGCAGTAACTGAGTTACTACCCGTTGATATACTGCTATGGAATAGGGAGGGAGCCAAACATACTGCCAAGTTATTGGCAGTCATTTGATTGTATTGGGAATTGGCAGCGACTAATGTTAAAAATTCTAATAAGGCATATAGAATTTCACGATTCTCATCGGGCAACAAAAGGACGGCAGATTGTACAGCATCCAAACGGACTTCGGGAGGTAAATCTAAAAAAATGGAAAACTTTGTTAATAACTTTAAAAATCCTAATAATTTCAAATCTGGAAAACTTACGTTGAAATATGGCCGCAAATGTCTCCGACATTTTGGTGGTCAACAACGATTCGGGCAAATCTCTGAAATACTGTTTCAACATATCGGCCACATCATATGCCTGTTGTGTATCAAACACATCCATGCATTCTGCCGTAGATTCTGAGTATTCAATTAGTTCTTTCAATTTTAAAATTCTCGATTTAACACCACTCTTACGGAAGAGACCAATTTGATCTAAAGCATTTAACTGTAACCAGCGGAAGGCCGCCCTCACCGCAATGGGTAATGTTTGACCCGAACGTTGTAAGATTAGAAGTAAAGGTACACCAAATACTTTCTTATCCTTATAGTCGGGCATTTTGATTTTCTTGATAAATTTCGGCAATTCCCAATTCCAGCCAGAACGGTGTGTGGGGCAATAGCGTTCCATATAGCCGGTTAGAGTAACCAGGGCCAGTTTGCGTATCATTTGTAATTGACCCGCTGACATGGCAGCGAACAGTATGCCATGCTCATTGGAATGTGGATCATTCTTTTGTTGAAAACACTTACGGAATATCATGTGGGGTCGTTCTTCCAATTGAAAACTGTGCCATCTAACAACGGGGGTTCTGTATAATATAAAAAAATATATATATTTCAAATGTAAATATAAAATATTCTATAAAAAGTTCATTTACCTCTTAACACTTTCACTGGGTTCTTCTGGTTTTGGTTCCTTTCTTGTTGTTGATCTAGATCTAAAACTGGCCGAACGAAAACCATCCCGTTTTTTACCATCTCTGCCCAAATTCAATGAACCTCCTCGTGATAATTTCTTAACTTTAACTTCGGTTGTATTAGAGTTGGCATCTTTTATAAGTAATTTTCTACCCTGATGACACTCGGAGTCGGAGTGGGCTCCTATATCGTCTACCTTTCCCGTGCGCTGTAAAAATCTGCGCGTCTTACAAGGTGTTTTACGTAAAGCCAATTTATTAGTGGTGGAGGAAGATTCTTGACTATCGCTATAGTACGAAGAGGAATCATCCGATTTGCCTTCCTTCAAATAGGGCATAGTGTTGGTAAAGAAATGCAGCGGACTTGCTCTCATGGATCTGGGAGTGGTGGGTGTTCTCTTGGGACTGTTTCGATTAGGACTTAAGAAATTGTCACTCTGAGATGGTACCTTTAGTTCATTACCAAATATAGGAGCCTTATTGAAACCATGCATGGGACTAACCGCTGACGGTGAGGGTGGTGTAGAATATACAGCGTCTGGTTTACGCATACTTGCCCTCTGTCCCAGTTGTGAGAGATCTAAGGCTTGACCACTCAATACTAAACCTTGCCTTTTTCGTCTTCTCGATTTAATGGATTCTACTCTACGTAAAATGGCTTTAGCACCATCTTTTAATCTCTCGCTACCCGTCCTTCTCAAAGGACTCGAATTAAGATCTGTGCTATCATTTAAAGCAGGATCTGTAGAATCATCAGTATAGGTGCCGGGTAGGGCTAAAGTGAGACCAGCTCCCGATACATCATATGAATCGTCCTCAAAACGATCGGGACTAGATTCTTTGGAAGATGATTCGGTTTTTTCGGCGGCTTGTAATTTGGCGGCAGGTGGTATTTCAAGACCCATTTCACCAATACGCGACCAGCGTCGTATATGTGGTTGGAATGTCCAGTTTTCGCTTAAAGCAAAATTTTCATCATCTGAATCCTCTTTCTGAAATACATGAGGAAATCAATGTGTCATTTAGAGGTTGTTTTTAACAAATTAAAAAAATAATAAAATAAATTACTAACCTGGGGCGTTTGAGTTTTATGAGATTGATCTACACGCATATTGGCACAACGATTTA